CCCGCGCCCTCCCGGCTGCTCGCGCCTCCTCCGAGCCGGCGGCTGCGCGGCGCGCCCGGCAGTGGGGGCGGCGGAGGGCGCTGTCCCCTCCCTACCGGAGCAGCGACCCGGGTCCTGAGCTCTCCAGGGGCAGTGCGGGCCGGGAGAGCGTCCCGTGGAACAGGGCTGCGGGCGGGGTGTGTGGAGGGCTGGGATCTTTCTGCCCCGCAACCAGCCGGCCTCCTCTTCCCAACTTCTCCCGCCCCCAGGAGGGAGCTGCTCCCGGTTACCGCCGGCTCCTTGAGGGGACTGAGGCTGTAATGGATGGGCGGGAGCAGGAGGCTTCCCGCTGGTGGGCGCTGGTGCCGCACAGCTGTCGGGGGCCTCCTCTTCCTGGGAGCCTGGGGGGTGCCAGAAGCCGCACACCCAGAAGGCTCCAGCACTGCCCAGTCTTGGGGAGCCTTGAGGGGAAGCGGAAGGCAGGCAGACAAAGGAACATCCCTCCTCCAGGAGTGCCCACCCCTCATGCGCTGGCACCCTGGGGTGTCACTGCTGCCTGGGGTCCCTCCTGTCAACCCGGACTTGGTCATCAGTGGTCACTTTCAGAACCCGGGCTGTGGGAGGGACTGGCCAGGCCTGCAGTGGAGGGATGTCGAGGGGAGGATAGGTCCCTGCCCACTACTGCGACCCTTCTGCACTCAGCTCCTCTGGGCTTTTGGGGGCCGTGGGGGGTGCTATCCTAGCCTGGGCCACTCAAGATGAGGCCTGTGAGCTCCCCCCCCCATGTCCTCTGACCAGCAGGGGCCCTGCCAGGTGACTAGGCACCAGTCTGTGCCACATGTACCTGCCCAGGATCCCACACGACCTCCCCTTGGAGCCCTCCCCACCCCCATTCCTGCCCCAGATTCTGGGGCGTTCAAGCTCAGCTGGACCCCACTGGCTTTGGCTGCTGTCCTGGGGACAGGAAACTTGGGCAGGTGGGGGAAGCGGGGCAACCCCTACCCAGACCTGGGCCCCAGAGCCCAGGCCTGGATCAGCTGCAGGGGCACGTGCGGGCGCCCAGCTTGCGGCTGTGCAGGCCTGTAGGTATCTTATTCTCTACCTGTTCTCAGCTGGCCTGCTCAGCCGGAACATGACAGTCTCATTAGGGAGCCTTAGCAAACAAAAACAACCCCTAATGCTAGGTCTTCAAAGGAAACACAGATGGTCCCTTGCTAGAAGCCAGGGCAGCAGGCTCGAAAGTCAACAGGAAGGTTTCGGTTGTGGCTGCTGCTGTCTGGACAAGTGTCTTAGCAGCTCTGTGTCTTAGCCTTGTCATCTGTCATCTGTGGAACAGGACTTCAATACCGTCCCTGGAGCAGGGCTGAGGCTGACAGCCCTGGCATGGAGGGAAGGTTGCCGCATGGATTATGCGGACTGCAGGGTGTGAGGCGACAGGCCCGGGTCGCACAAGTTGGCTGGCTGGGAAACCCCACCAGCTCGGGCGGGATTTGCTCTCTGGAAACTGTTGCCCACTGCTCTCCAAGGGAGCAGGCTTGGAGCCGGGCCTGTGTGTCCGCTCCACACCCACCGTCCCTGCTCTGTGGGGTCTGCAGTCACACCCCACCCTGACCACTGCCATCTGTCACCTTGGTCAAGAGCCCCCAGGGGGAGTCCTGAGCCAGTGTCCACTGGGGTCCGTCCCTTGCTAGCCAGAGGTCGCAGCTGCCCAGGAGAGGCAGGGAGGGAGGCGGAGGCGCACTCTCCCGGCTGCTTGATCTCACTGTTTGGTTTTCAAACCCCTGACCTTTCGGCTAAGCTGCCCTTCTTTTCAAAGATTTCTTTTGAGGTAGCCTACAAACTTAAAAATCATAAATGGCAACTTAACACAAATATTATGACAAGGCATTTGCTTAAACCACCTAGAAAATGTCACCTGGAGGGCTTTGTTCTATGTGCAGTGGGCGCAGGCCCTGGCCAGGGGCTCCCTGGTGACCACTCCTGCAGGCTGCTCTGGAGTTTTCTTCCTGCCTACCCTGAGCCAGAAAGGCTCAGCAGCCGGAACCTTTTAATTCCACATTGTTTGCGTGCTCCCGCCTCACAGCCTCAGACAGGAGCCTGTCCTAAATAGTTCTGTCTCTCTCCTTCCTCCCACCCTCCTTTTCTGCCTTCTTTCTTTCTTTCTTTCTTTCTTTCTTTCTTTCTTTCTTTCTTTCTTTCTTTCTTTCTTTCTTTCCTTCTTTCTTTTTGTTTCTTTCTTTCTCTCTTGCCTTCTTCTGTCCTTCCCTCCTCCTTCCTTTCTCCCCGCTCCCCTCCCTCCCTCCCCTCTTGCTGGTTTGCTCACTTCTCCCTCTGCACTGGGGATCAAACCCCGGGCCTCACCCACTCCATGCGAGTACTCTACCAACAGCCCACTGCTGCTCCGCCACACGCTGCTCTCCAGCCAGCGGCACTCAGATTCTTAGGAAGTGCGGGCAGGGCATTCACAAAGGGCCCAGTGAGGGTCCAGCTGCACCTGCTGCTACCCAGCGCACTTTGTTTGGACTGGCCTGGCCCCCACACTGATATCCTGAAGCCTGGGTACAGCCTTGGGAGAGCAGAGCTCTGGGCCTGCTGGAGAGCGGAGACCCCTGCCCTGGACCCTGACGCGTCACACTCTACATTGCTTGCCCTGTGTTTGGTGAGGGCCAGGACCCACTGATGGGGTCTGTGTCTCTCAGATCCACTCGTGTGTGGGGATTGCTTGACTTTTTGCAGTTTCCTGTGTGATACAGCAAGGCCGAGTCTCCTACTCTGTGCATGTCACGATCTCTGTCCTGGGTGAGTCTCGAACAAAAGCAACCAAGTGGACCTCCCTCAGGGGATGCTCACAGGCTGGGTCCCTGCTTGCTGTGTGAGCTGACTTCTCCCGTCCCCCTGGGCTGCCCAGGTCAGTCTGTGTCCACTTTGTCACTGTGTTGAGGGAGCTCCCACATGTAAGGGTTCTTCAGTCACTGCCTGTGCCCAAGAAGGCTTTTTACTACTCTTAAAAATTAAGTTCACAGTAAAGCTTTGGTCAGGCCCCTACTCCTGCCTAACAAAACACCTGACAACCTAGTGGCTTAGAACAACACGTAATATTGCCATTGAGTATTATTATCCTATAAGGCCACAGCCAGGTGGGGAGGGTAAGTGTACACGAGACACAGAATGTGAGGTCTGCATAATTTGTAGCGTTGAGCTGTACATTTTCCCTCCCACAGTGTGGAAACTGCACACGTTCCAGGACCTGCTGCATTCCAAGAAGGAGTCTTAAAAATAGAGCAGCACATGTGCACATGTGAGAGGAAGGGTCTCTCCCTCCCCGTGCCGGCTGCGCTCGCAGCGTTTCCAGAGCTGCTGGAAGCACCCAAAGCTCGCGCTCCAGCCACTGAGCCTCCCGGTTCCCTCCGCAGTCAGTCCTGTGCTGGCTGCCTGGAAATGTGAGCTGTGTGCTGCTGGGGAACCCAGGAGGGGGGTGGGGTGGCTGCTACTCGTGCACTCAAAGACCACAAGGGACAAAGGACCACAGGGCGCAACGCGCAGAGAGCCCCTGGGAGCTGCAGGGATGGGTGCAAGGGCCTTGCGTTCGAGCCCCATCACACCCTGACTGTGGGCGCTGGGCCAGACAGGTAGGTCCCTGAGCCGGTCTCCTTGTCAGTGATGCAGATGGTGCGGTCCTGATGCTGTTGGCTGCTGAGAGAAGCATGCAGTGTGTGTGTCAGTCACCAGCTCTGGTGCTCACTGCACGGGGTCGCCCACCGAGCTCACAGGCCAGCCAGAGGGGGCCAGAACAGAGGCCACACGCTCTGCCTTCCCTGCCAGGGGCTCATTCCCAGGCTGCTGTCACAACTGTCGCCCATGTGTGGCTATGTGGAGGATCTCATGAGCTCCACAGATAGACACTTGGGCCGTCCTGCCCAGTGAGCAGGGGTGACCCTCCCGTAGTACCCAGGGTCCTCTTGGAAGGAAGGTGGTCACAGCAACACGATCACCTCACACTAGTGGTTTGGGGACTTTCTTTGATGGGGTTGTCGCTGTTGTTTGAGATAAGAGTCTTGTTATATAGTTAAGCCTGGCCTTGGATTTGTGGCAATCCTCCTGCCTCAGCCTCCCAAGCGGGAACTGCAGGTGTGTGCCACCATGCCTAGCTACTTTCTCTGGTTTTAAGGTGGAAAGCAGAGTTGTGGAAACCTGAGCCCTCTCAGCTCTTCTCACTTCGGGAACATTAGTCACCAAAACTCAGAGAGGCTGTGTGCAGTCCTACATGTAGGCTAGGAGCTCCTGCCTCGGCAGACCAAGCCTTGCTCGCGGGTCCCCTTCCCTCTCCTCTGTCTCCCCTGGCACCACCCATCTTGAGTCAGGACCTTCCTCTCCTCTCCCAAATCCCCAAGTCCCCAAAGCCTCATGGGCTGCTAGGCAGGGCTTGGGGAGGTGACTGGATCGTGGGTGGGCGCCATCAGCGGGGTGAGTCCAGCGCTGTGTGTGTAGCTCAGTGTGACACCAGGG